CAAGGAGTTCATCCCCTCTGTATTTTTTTCTCTTTATTCTTTCTTGTTCGAGGATCTATTATAAGTACTGTAAATGAAGGCCCTAAACACATCTCTTGTGTTGGAATAGAGTTCCAAGGGAAAATTCTCGTAAGTTGAAGTCATTCAGAAAACAGCTGCTATTGTTACTATGCTGAAATACATCTACCCTGCTCTACTGTGATCTGTCTTGTAATGTCCATGGAAAAAATGTTACTATAAAGCCTCCCATTTCCGTACTTTAAACTTGCTTGGAGCCGTAAGATTGCTTTTCTTTATTGTTTAGTAAGTGTTTTTTAATGAAATGTACTGCTTTTATTATATAGGACTCAAAGTAAGACCTAAATCACTATCCAATAAAAGAAAAGTATTTAGACATCTGAAGTTACTACCCAGAGGCTACTCTGGTACAGTATTTATAAATCTCTAAACAGTTAAGTATAATTATCTTTCTGCTTTTGGGGAAGAAAGCAAAATATGATTTTTAGTTAGAACTGAAAATATTTTTTGTGTTGGGCCCTGTTCATCTGGTGGGTAAAACAACAAGCAAAATTCCCACAGTGTAAGACTGAAAGAAAATACAAGATTCATGAAAAATGAAACAGGAACAGTCACTACTTGAGATGGAAACGTCAACAGAACGAAGGAAAGGAGAATTATGGGAGCTGTTCCAGCATAACTGCCATAACTGGTCTTTTCTCTGAAATAATTAATGATAAAATAATCTCACCTTGTATTTGAGGGGACAGAATAAGAATCGGGAAGGATCAAGGGATAATAAAACAAATCTCCATTACCTAAGAGTGACCTTTTTTCTCCACCACAAACATACCTCTTTACAAACTTTTCTATGAAGACAATCATTCAACAGCTATAAGCAGAACTCCAAGATAAAAACAGGAATTCCCTCATACAAATAGGACCTCTGACTGAGTTGATGAGTCATTTTTTAAAGACGCAGGCCAAGCTCCAGCTTTAAAGCATTTTGTATCTCAGAAGCTGAGATGTCTTAATGCAAGTAATAGTTTGCTGCAGCTTCAGTGGGATGCACTTTGGCCTTTCTGTCCTTGGAATCTAGGTCTCATAAAGGCAACAAAATGCCCCAATTACTTCCAAAACCTCATTTTCAAGCCATCAGAGTCTGCACACCAGCCTCTAGCATGTCTAAGGAGTTGCCCAGTCAGCTTTGAAATATTCACTGAAGACAGCCATGAGAATGCTTTCAACATGAAAGCTTTCAAGAACACACATCTGTTTTGAAAGTTTCTTGTTCCTTTTTAGTAGAATTACACATTTTATGGAAATGAGACTAGCAAATGGTTCCAGAACAGTTAGTAAGCTTTTCCTTCTAAGGAAGGCACCTTGTTTTCATTCACAGATTTCTATAGTCATGCTGTTGTCATGTGCTGCTAGACATGGATTTGACAACATAGACAGTTTATTAGCATCTGCCCTGTATACTCCAGGTTCATTTATGGCTCTGGTACAGAATTATTTTCTTTTTTGTTTCCTTTTTTTTTTTCTGTGCCTTGAAACTCTTGAGGTGTTGTTTTTATTTCTTCAGGAGATCAGGATGCAATTCTGGCAGCATCAGTAAGGATTCAAGGAGAGCAGACCAGAGTACAAAAGTATTGTCATACTTCTTACAGAAGATCCAGATAATTATTGCTACCGGTTCAAAAGTCTGGGGATATTTTAACACTGTGAGACACTAGAAGGATTTTGCTCCTGCATGAAAACAGCTGTGTATTGAGTTCATCTTGAGCTAGTAATGAGAAAATCCTTTGTTGATATAAACTAGATTAATTCAGTAGACTTTCAGCAGTTAACTTAATCCATTGGGAATTGATGGCCATATTGTTTTTTATCAGGGAACCTTGCTGTCATATGTCCACCCTCTTGTTTCTTTTACAAGGCCTTTTTTCTCAGTTCTGGATTCAGTTGCTGGTGCAATGCTATGTCCTTGATTGGAAAAGGCATGTTTGAATGGATACAGAAGGTTCAGTGAAAGAAGACTTCAGTGTTAAAGTAGGTGACAAGGGTGAGGCTCTAGTGAAAAGGGAATGAAATCCCCAAATCTGTGGGTTCTTTTTCTGCTACCAACTTAGAACAAAGGTGTTATAGATATGTCCCTGTACTTCAGCACTGGCCAATAATTGTGACTTAATCTGATGGCTAATAAGTTTGCATCCTGCTTTCTATGGTGCGCTTCTTGGACTAATGTCATATTTTGTCTGATGCTGGAGTGAAACAATTATAGGTAAAATCTGGAAATATACTTGTGCGCTCAATAACCTATGAATTAAATGACTGTATTTTTTTTCACTTTTTCCAGAGGCATAAACCTAATGATATATCACATTTTCATATGGGATTCCACTGCTTAATGACGATAGAATTATGCTAGCTATTTACTTAGAATAGCAAGGGTAAGATTACACTGTTAATTCACCTCACCAAAAAACCTCACACCTTAGTCCATATGTTTCTCAGGCCGTTCACATATTTTGCTTTGTTTCTTCTCATTTCAACACCCTGTCAAAGGTCAACTGACATTCTTACACACACCCAGATTTTCTAATGTCAGCATTTCCTGTGATCAGTAATAGAAGTCACATAAAAGGACAGCACAGAACACTCTTTCAAAGGATGGTGTTAGTGAGGAATGTCTGAATTCAAAATCATACATTCACATCTAGAAAAATACAGACTAGCAGTACTTAAGGTTTGTACCAGCTGATGTGTTAAGAATACTGTTATGGCAAATAAGACAGAAATGTTTAAGCAAAAGTAATATGACAGCTTGCTCTGTAAATAAAGGTACTTGATTGCCAGTAAAGAGCTGTGAGGTGATTCTAGTATGCTGCTTCTTGACCAGCAAAAGTTGAATCACCTGATTTATATAACAGTCATGATAGCTGTGTCCACCATATGTTAAAGCTGCATTTCATAGACAAAAATGTCACACTGGATATAATTTCCAGTGAAGTTTGTGCTATCTACTGATCTAATTGCTTCTGACAGCCTAACCATTGTATTCAAGGTCTTGCAAGAAAATTTACTATACTGAAAGCAATGCAACTAATAGGAGTTGTGGGTACTGTAAGCAGAGAATTTATTAGGAAGATAATTATTTTCTGAAGCAACTGGTTTTAGAAGAAAAAGCACTGTCCATATTCAGTGCTCACAACTAAAATTGGTGGCTGGTTTCCTGCCTCACGTTGCACCCTTTTCCCCCCAGAAATGCTAAAGAAAGAGTCACCTTTTTTTTTTTTACATGCACACTGATATTTAACTGAAGAAATTACCAAAATTTTTAAGTATGTGCTAACCTATTGTGCCTCTGCTTCTCTGCATCAGCTACATGGAATATTGCTAAAGGGATTTATACCATGGCCACAGTCTATGCTTCATGACCTACAGCAGCTATGCTGCAGCAGCAACCTGGATATTATAGAATCACAGAATAATTCAGGCTGGAAGGGACATCAGAGGGTCTCTAGTCTGACTTCCTGCTCAAAGCAGGGTCAGCTATGAGGTCAGAGCAGGTTCTTCAGTGCTTTATGCAGTCACGTCTTGAATACCTCCAAGGATCAAGAATAAAAAAATGACAAGTGTTCATGCGGTGTACAAGATTCTTACGTTGCTCCCAGAAACAAAATACAACAGTTAAGTGTTGGAAATATCACTAACCTCTGAGCAAAGGGAGAACAAGGAAATTCTTTCAGACTGTTCCTCAAGAACAGGAAGGAAGGGAAGAAGGGGTGAGACACAGACTCTATGTCTTGGTTTCAATTACACACGTGATAGGAGACTGAGAGTAACCCACCTGACTTTGAAAATTTGAAACTTTTAGCTTCCTGGTACAATTTAATTCCAGTATTAAATTCCACAATTTTATTGCTAATTCTAATAAAAAAAAAATCCATCTTCAAGAAGTTTCCATACTCAAGAAGTTAACGTTGCTGCCTCTGATTTTTGGCTCATAATTCCTATTTCCTGATTACAGTGTAAAGAGAAAAACTGAATTTAATTTTACTTCTTACAGTCCTTGCGGGGAAACTATCTCTAGATCAGGCTCACAGGGAAACTGTAGACCAAAGCACTATCCTTTCTACACCTACATTTATAGCAGGGCTTGATCCAGCGGGAATATTTACTGCAGCACCTAATAGGTTTATCAAAGGTAGGACTTCAGCTGCATAAGCTAAAAGACCCTTCAGGGATGAGAAGAAGATTGTTTTTACATTGATGGTCTTTGCCAGGGTGCTTATAACTGCTTTGCAGCTGTTTTGCAGAGGCACAGTTGGTGTAAAATGGCCTTTGGCTACCTATGAATCAGTCCCCTACTCTCAGCAAAGACTGAAGGATTTTGTTTAATGTCCTCACATGGGATGAGTACATGTCAAACCATGGGAAGAAATCAGTTCTGAGTTAATTTTAATTGGCTTTTTGAGCAAAAAGACAGAGGAACTGTAAACAAAACTTAAAATTCTTATTCTTTTTATTTTACTTTTTGGTTTGTACCACTGAGCTTTTTTCCTCCGTGGTTGCAATGTACATAAAGACAGAAGCTTCAGGTATTCTGAAGTGAGTATGAGTTAGCTTTGGCTATATGACAGTAACTGCCCTGGTAAGAAAGCCACAGAGCAGGCCAGGGTGAGAAAGCAACGATTTTATATATATATATATATATGTATATATATATATATGTATATATATATCTATCTATCTTAGGGAAATTTTTAAATGACAAAAAATTCCAGTTTCACATTCATTCATTTTTCCTCTACAAGATGTGCTTTGTGATGTAGCAGAGAAACTACGTGACTGTCCCTTTAAAAGCCATCATACCAATCAGCAGGTTTAACTGTCAAGCAAGCTGATGTAAGGCTCTTTGAATTACTGAGTGAGGGATATTCTTCCTGCCAGGTCCTGTCCCCTGTAGGCACTGTAGAGAAGTATTATAGGGCAGTCCTTACCTTGGGAATTAGCCTGCAAGACCCCAATGCTGTCATCAAACTGCATAGATTTGATGTTGAGTGACGCCAAGATGCATTCCTTGTCCTGCAGCGAAGCATCATCAATATTATTCTGATTGGCTGACAGGATAACGCACATGTCGCAGAGGTTGATGTTGACAGCCCTTAAATCAGCCCGACTTAATGGCGTACCCTTCAGCACAGAGAAAAAAGGGGGGGGGGGGGCAGGAAAGAAAAAAAAGAAAAACAAATTAAAGATTGAGAAGGAGCTTTGGGAAATTATTTAACAAGTATCTTTTTTTATGCTCTGACATTAAGCTGGTCTAACTATGTGCCAGGGAATAGGAGATGTGTGCTAATCTAAAGGGTAGTTGGTGCTGATGGCAGCATTTTAGGTTCAGTCTCAATACTCAGTCAAGCTATTACTAACAAACAAGAAACAGGAATAATGCCAGCATTCTCCATCTCATCGGTGACTTGAAATTGTCTTGATTTAAGTTGCAACCTCTGGCTCTCTGAATATAACAAAGGGGGTGTTTTAAATGTCTATTTATCTACTACAAAGCCACAATGGTCTTGGGCAGAATAGCAATTTAAACAGGAAAGCATTATGTGTCCTACACATTTGAAATGCAATCAGGATAAAGCTATTTTTTTCAACCTGAAGCAATACAGAGAAAAGGTTAATCCTTTTTACTGCATGTTTTTGGTTCTTCCAGAAGGAAAACACACTGATCTTCGAAGTTGTGTGCCTACACCCTTTGAAACAAAACCAAGACTTTATTTTAATAGGCACAACTCATGCAACAGTCCCTGTTTCCACAGTTCTCAATCAGTGACTGTAATAATTAAAATGTTGTGGTAGTCTGTTTCATAGTTCATCATTAATACAACCAAAACATGACACTTAACCCATTATGTTTTGTTTAAAGATAGCCCTTGCATTTCACATCCAATATTGAGAATGAAGAAGAAACTAAGCTGTCCCCTTGTCACACAGCAACTTTCATAAAACCAAGTCAAGACCCTACTCTTCCATCTCCTGATCACTCATGGTGAACGTCTCCTGAACTCCACTAAGAATGTTCAATGCAAAAATTAATTTAAAAGGCACAAAGTGAAGGCAGAGCTCAGTTCTTATTCAGTGCCTCATTCCAAATACCAGCCTGACTATTCCATGTTACTTTCAATAATTTGAGGCATGAAACATTGTGGAAAACAGCATATATCAAACAGATATGACTGAGTTATAAAGCACGAAAACTTAGGATATGATTATTTCTGCCACCTTAATTCTGCCCTTGGTGTATGTACTGTGCAGCATGTGAAGGAAGATTCCTGTGGGGAAAAATAATATGTAACCATGTAATTAATTAAAGACTCCTAACGATTTTATGCAAAAGGACACAATTAAGGCTGCCTGAGGATACTTAAAACTGGCATTTGCCTACTTTTTAAGAGTTTAGTCAGCAGCTTAAATGCCACTTTTAATAGACTTTAAATAAAATTTCCACCTTTGTTCAGAACAAATGTTTTTATATTCAGCTGTAACCACTTCCCCATCAGATAGCAGCAGCAAGTTTTAACCTTGTGAACCAAAGCACAGAGAAGTAGGAAATCAAGTGTGTGGCCTCCCTTTAACACATGATTACTACCAGTATGATACTTTAGTAGACTTTTAAATTAGCATAATTAGATCAGAATAATGCTGATATTTTTAACCATATAACACCATTTTGAACCAGATAAGCTGGGAAAAAAAAAAAAACCAGCAAAAGCAAGTCTGTGGTCTTCACCCCTTGGTTACTGTGTAAGATACAATTCCTTTAATTATTCTGTATGTTTAAAGGTGCATCAATTATTTGAGTTGTTTAAGTTGAAATTAGTTCAAAACTATTCTGAATTTGCATGCAAACTCATTGGGGAATGTAAAGGTGGTGTACATTTCCTTAATGCATCTTCAGAATTCAGAACCTATACGAATATACATTATGTACTTGGCAGCTTGGATTTTATTCTGCTCCGCATTTCAACAGCATTATTAACTTAATTCTGATTTCTTAGTCTTTATCCTTCAAATTGACTGGAATTAAAAGGGATTGGCAGGAAGAGGAGGATATTAACTGACCAAATCTGATATTGACACCATTTTTGTGACAGCAGAGAATCTTGTGACACCATCTGTTGGATCAGTTTACAGAAAAAAGCCAAGGGCTAGCGCTAAAACTGCATTTACAGTAACAAAGACCTACAGCCTGAATTAATCAAAAAGTGAAGGCAGTCTTTCCATTCTATAGCTATTTTCCCAATTATTCAATTTAGGTTACATCCATCATTGATTTATTTATTTCTAACAGCTGAAATGTAATTATTAAGAACTGGTAAATTTGTATTTTTTCTTTCTGATAAAAACAATCTAACCTCACTCTGTAATGTACAGAGCATCCTCTTTTGTACTTATACTGTGTGCTCATTTCCCTCTTGCCTACATCTCTGTAGATCATTTACAGCTGAGACCACCTAAGATCACTGGCTTGGAGGGCTTCATTTATTTGTCCTGGAGCCCGTCTACATTTTGGGCACATGACTGAATGATAATGATATATAGAAGAAAAACGTCCTCTGAATTGTGGTTTTAGTGGCTACCCCTACTAAAATCAATAGGATCTTTTCACTGATTTCAAAAGGCTCAGTGTTTTCTCATACTTCCATACTCAAGTATGGCAGTACTCTGAACTGGAATGCTATGGCAATATTCCGCATAAAACATGCTGGCCTAAAGAAAGTTTTTACGAACACAGATAAATTTTATTTGGATAGAGTAACAATATTTTTTTTTCCAAAGGTTTTGTGGGTATAAATACATAAACAATGTCATAAACAACTACTGTCACAACATCAGAACTGGCTACATGCAGGGACCTACAGTGAACGTTCAATATATAACACAGCTAATACATTTGATAGCAGCTGAAATTCATCCGATGAGGATGACAAGGAACCAAACGCTGTGGCAAATATCTTCTAATAAGGTCTCACAGGGCTCTGTTTTCACAGACACAGTAAAGGGAAAATCTAAGTCCTCAGGCTTATAAGTAGACAAAAGTAAAAAAGCCTAAGATCAAAGTCAACATGAATCTGTCCAGTTGGTGTCGTAAATAAGAAAATATCAATAATATGGCTTTGGACTTACAGGCAAGATTGAAACCTTGGGGAAGTTATGCAGTGTTTCCCATTCCCTTCTTAGGTATTCAAGTGAACCCACAAACACAATATGCTTGAGCTCGTGGTAGTGAAAGTTGCTGGCTCGTAATGGCATCACTAAATTTCTTAATCCAATCAAAGCAGACTTAACATCCCCAAATATGCAAACGACTACATGCCCACTTAAAACTGTCATCGCTGCTTCACTTCGAGTCTAAAGAAAAACAGAAACAAAAAGACAAGGGAAAAAATGAAACAAATGGAAGCGTAAATCATATATTGAGTTTTGAACCAGAAAAAAACACAACTGTCAATACCATTCATGCACAAAGAAGTAGTTTAATAATAGCTGTTCATTTTATCCTTGTTTATCCTTCATTAAATGTTCTCACCAGAAGAAAAGTTTGTTCTTGTTTGCAAATCCTTTGTTCAAGAAGATGTTGTACTGCACCAAATTCTGGTCCTATATATGTTTCTACATATGTGGATTAAGACTCTCATTGCAATTCAAGTACTCTGGATTTAGCCAGGAACAGAATTTGACCTACTATGCATTTAGCCACTAGAAGGATTACAGAAAAGAGATGCAAAACCATGCCTTAGCTGATGAATCCCTGGGTTTTTTTCTTTCAGGACCAAGTCGACAAGCAAAATGTGAGTGCTCAAAGATCTTTCTAGGGATTTGTGGTATTACACATACCTTGTGAATGGAGGACCATATTCTCTTAGTCAAAGTTCTTATTTTAGAACAAGATGTGACTACCCTGAGAAGCAGTCAAAGAATGCTCAACAGTGCTCTGCTTTACCATGGAAGTCCTCCATACTGAACTTCTCCCAGTAAGAAAAAGCTAGTGTGAAAGGTTGTGATTAATACTAACTTTTCAGGTCCTCTGGACTTCCCGAGTTACTGAATAGACAGAAGGAAAAAAAATCTCATGAAGAACGTTCGAATGATGTTCAGAATTATCTTCTTGCCTTAGTGACAAGAATAAATTTTTGCACTAACTTCATCAGTGGTAATGTCAGTTGAGCAGACAAAGTCAAACACCAAGATGGAAATAAAGTGATTCGGAAAAAATTACCTTCATTTCTGGAGTCATTCTTATCATTTTCTGCACTCCACCAAGTAGCTGAAGATCCACTGACAGTAAATTGCCAAGAAGCTGTATACTCAGTACCATTACACAGAAGCCTTGCTAATGAAAAAAACTAAACCAATGGTGAACTGCAAAATTTTTCCCTCAGTTGTCCATTTTCTAAATTATGGAAGCATGACAACGTGCAATAAAGATTGGAATATTCAGCAGAGGTGTTCACTATGTAAGAAGAATGGGAACTGATTAGAAGTTTTCTCATCAGTTAAAAAATACATCAGCTTTCTATTTCCCTGGGGCAATTGCACTGATTTAATCCAAGTCTATCAAGAAAGTGGTCTTGGCCCTTTAAAGAGCAGAAGATGTGAGTGAATGCTTAAGTGAAGCACGTAAGTTGTCCCATGCCTCTGCCTACTGGTCTGGAATACTCACACTTTACGAGAGACCAAGCCTTGAAAGAAATTATGTAAAAAAATGTCACTCTATAGTCATTGATATTTATGTAGCCACATACAGTTGCCTGTATGTCAAAACAACTCTTACTACCTGATACTGCTGGAATCACATAGAGCCAAAATAGACCTTCAGCAGAAAAAGGTATTATTTTCAGATTAAAGCATTATCAATTGGAAGACAACCTGGGAAATACCATAGTCTTCAAATTATGCAATAAACTGTACTTGTGTGGTCTGTAAGGACAGCATTAAATTTGCATGGATATGAGTGTAGACATAAATTGTGGACTGTGAATTTGAAAAGGTGTATAGAAGCATTTTGCTTGGCAGTGTCTTTATTGGTAATGATGCATGAAGCAGAAAGAACTTGGCCAGCCTTATAGATTCATGGGCTAGGGAAAAAACCTGACATAGCATCACCAAGAGATGATACATGAGGCACTCCACAACACCATTTTTTGAGAAACACTTTTCAAAGTGGGACAACACATAAAGGTTGCAGACTAAAATGTGCTTAGAGCATGAAGGCAGATATCGATCTCTGTCTATTGCAAAGCACTGTGTAACAGGGCTGCCTCTCCTTGCCTCTTGATTACATAGAATCATAGAATGCTTTGGGTTGGAAATTACCTTAAGATCATCTAGTTCCAACCCCCCTGCCCTCCCACTAGGCCAGGTTGCTCAAGGCCCTGTGCAACCTGGCCTTGAACACTGCCAGGGATGAAGCATTCACAAAGACATATAAATGCATACTATTTAAAGCTGTTCAGTCAAACTATGTGTCACAGCTCAGTCTCTAGAATTTCAAATTTATTTGCTTGACTGATTAAACAACAATAGTGCAATTGCAGGCAATGTTACAGTTATTACAGAAACTCCTGAGGAGAAGTGGAGACAAGCTCTTAAGCCCTGATTGCTAGAATAAACTGGGGCTGTCACCATCAGCGGCTACACCATGCCACAGTGCATGAAAATCTAAGACAGCAGGCTCAGGAAAAGCTTTATGAACTGTGACAAAGTGAAGATCCACCAGGGAGTTAAATTCAAATATCATCAGTTTTCCATATGAGATCCAGAGTTAGTTAGTTGCTACTCTTAGGTATGAGTACATGAACACAAGTGGCACAAACTTTAAGCGAGTAAAATAGATTGTGATAGGCCTTCTAACTATTTGTAATGACTTGAGTCATTTTGATGGTTTCCCTAGTTAAACAAATGAAACAAACATAGACTAGGCTTGCCGTGCCATGCTGGAAAGGCAGAGCAGTAGCACTACTTACTCTAGCCTATTTAGGCACCTTGAAATGTTGGAAATTGAGTAAGTTCTAAGAGAGTGAAATTCATATCAACATATAAGAGATAATGCAAAGCAACACTTGCCTATATTAGAGTCATTATTGCTTTGTGCAAGGAGATAAGTGGAGTATGCAAACATTTCAATATTTCCAATCTTAATCTTCTAAAGATTTAAATCAAATATGTAAATTTCAGCTTATGAAAAAGAAATTCTCTATTTTGGACCGACTTTTATTGTTGCTTTTGGCATACAGATTTATATAATGATAATTCTTTAACCAAAATGCTAGCTTTGGTTTCACCATGCTTTGTTTCTGATTTCAATATGCTGGATTTAATGACAGTAGAGATGAATTTATTAATCCATGATACATCAGTTCTGTGGTTCAAACAACCTCTTTTCAAACACAACTTATCATCAGTACCTACCAAAATGACCTTTTCAATGTCCTTGGCTGGACACCAATGAAACATCCCTGTAGAGTCATATTTTTTCACATTGGCATCCATGTTGTCAATCTGCTCATTGCCAGGAATTAACAAGGGGTCATGCCTGGGGAAAAACAAGTTGAGGACAACATAAATGGAAAATATTGTAAATTATGGATGGAAAGATATCCCAAGAGCTGTGTACAAAAAGGGATAAAAGTAAAAAATGAAATGTATTTACACTCGAATATGCTTGCAAACAGGATACTTTTAAACAAAAGATAAAAAGAAAATAAAAGTTAATTTTTACATTTTGGGTGCAGTTTAGAGGATTTTCTATACTCTTCCTACAGCAAAAAAACAATTTTAAGCAGGACTTTCTGACACCATCACAGCCATGAAAACTTTTTTTTCTTACCAGTACCACCCCTCCGAAATATGTATCAGAGTTGCTATAGGCATCTGCAATGAAGCAGAAGGGATAGGAACACAGCCCCATGCTGACTGACTGGCATAAGTATGGAAAGCCAATTACTTGCTTTTACCACATACAACTTCTGACATGATGCTCTTCGCAGTAAAAGCTTTAACAGGCTGCACTTTAAATATTTTAGCAATTTGCCCAATCATATTTTGCTTTCCCAAACTGAAGCCCTTTAAAGATTCAACAGTATGTCATTTTAGAGCAGACTGACTAACAAATGCCCACATCTGGAATACATGATTTTAATACTAAACAACAATGTCCATTTTCTCTGACAACTCTACCTGTGATAACCTTCGAAGTGTTTTTTGCAGCAAGATTTTACAGGACAAAGCTTCTCAACAGAGAAGCAAATAAAAGACTTTTTTATAAACTTGCTCTCCAGCTATATAGTTACATCTAAGCACAGACACATACATACAGTCCTTTAATTTATATGCTAAAATGTAGCATTAAGCTAAGTCCTAAGTGATGCCAATACTCTTAGGTGTTACTGAGGACACCTCACTGACTGCATTATACAGTACCACTAGAAGGAGGACAGTATTTACAAAGCACAGGATAAACTGACACTAAAATCTTAAAATTCAAGATGGGAAAAGAGCTTTCATTTCAAGGATTAAAATATATGCAGTGTAGGAATATACTAAGTACTCTGAAACAGGTATCCAAATTTTAAAGCAGTTTGCCTTTTAAAGCCAAAGAAAGGCATAATCTCTAATTCCATCAAGGTGATTAATTTGTGTAATTTTATACCCACTGACTGAATATCCCTTGAAATCAGTTGAAAATTCTCATTCATTTCACTCAGTTTCAACTCCACAGAAAGTGGCTTAAAAGAAATTGAGAAACTACTAATACAATGTTCCATTTAAACCAGAATTTTTTTGATGCTTTAGGAAAAAGCACTACACTACATGGGAAAAGCATGTCATCTGGAAAAATAAACACTATGTTTTCAAAGTTTTTTACAGGCACTCAACATATGGTGAGTTCAGTGAGATACAGTTCAGTGCATTTCACTATCAACCCATTGGCCACAGAAAAGCCTCAAGGGGACGATCCCAGGTTTAATAATGAAAGTCCACGGATTTTTACTTTCCAGAAAAATATCTAGATTCTGCATTCTCTTATTCTATTCATCAGTAAGCTGCAGTCACGGTACTTTTGGCTAGAGATAACTGTGATGTTCATAGGGCATTTCTTGATGCTTATAGTTGCATGCGATACAGTAAGATCTGCAACCATGGATACAATTCCATTTGAAGGTTGTACTAATAACATTGAGACAACATTTAGTGGTGCTCTCTCCTAGCTATTTTTTTCTGATAGAATGTCTTGACTATGTGTTTCAAAATAAGAAAGTTTGCCAAAAGGTCAGGAAACTCCAGGAGCTTCCACTGACAAATGTTTTTCTTTCTGGTGTTTTTCTAGTTTTGAGGGTTTTTTTCCTAAAGCTTTTGCAAGACATTTCTCCGCAAGTGTTGTTAGCAGAGCACTGGAAAAAAAAACAAAGTTCAGTGATCAAATCACCTTCCTTTCAGAAATCAGATGCATCTAGGAAGCAAATTCCTTTTTCTCTTTCCCTTCATCTATAACATAGACTATATTAAAAGCTATAATAAATCAATCTGTAAAAATGCCATATTCCCATTTCTAATCAGTGTTTCTTTTCTGCTGTGAGATTTAAAACTACATAGATCATCTGAAGCTTTCACACAAATGAGTATTTAGTAATACTCTAATCTCACTCACAGAACTGATACAATTTGAATGGAGTTTTATAACAAAGGTGATAACAGATATCTGATATCAAATTATGGTCAAGTGCCTTGAGGTCTCAGGCAACTTTTAGTGTGTAAGTGCTTAAAGTCTAGTGTAGATCTCTTTTGGTTAAGGGCCTTGCATCCTAAAAGGAAATGTACAAAACAGCTTGTGCCAAAGATTTATTAGAAATTTACCTCAATATTATATTTTCCAGTTATCTTAGGTTTAAACGGAAGTGTGCTATGGAAGGAATGAAGAATGTGAATCAGATATGACTCCCTATTGAAATTTTATGTAACAATTTTTTTTTATTTTTTTTTTTTTAATCAATGCATGCATTGATTTGCAATATAATAACCTGGATCCTCTGCTTCACTCTTGGAATACAGCAAGTGGCAGCCTTAAAAGAAGCAAACAGGATGAGTCACATAGCAAGTAAGCATGCTAATAGATAACATTGTATCACTTTTACTCTAGGAGAACGGATTACTGCCAGAGAAGGAAACCATGGTAAAACTAGCCACGCTTTCTGTTTCAGTCTGGGGTTTTTTTTACATATGTTTTTGTTTACATATGTGTTTACATAGCATCTGGTTTTTTTTACATAGGTGTTTTTAAATTGAAATCTTCTGGGGTAAGCTATTATTTTAGCCGCTTTTTAATCTGTGATTTTTCATTCTTAGTAAAGCAATCCCTGAAGATGTCTATGGAGATTTAAAACTCTTTACTACTAAGGTCCAAATTTGTCCTCACATATTAGAAGAAATACTGGCTTACATACTTAACTGGATTCATCTTTGGAGTTTTTAGGGTTTTTTTTAAACATGGTTATTTTATGAAGTAATACAGTAATAAAACAGTATTACACATACACTCTCATTAATCTGATGATCTAAACCTGTTTTGCAAATACTAACAATTAATTAAGACAGACACACAGAGGCCAAGGCTGTCAAATCTGCCTAAGGGGTTTGGACACCCTCTTCCCGTTAAAATTTATATTGCACAAAGCATTACAGTTGTTGCCCTTGGAGCCAAATCACTGACTGAACCTTTCTAGAGCCTCTCTGTCCCCCTCCCCCTTGAAGATGGCCCTGTCAAGCCATGCTTGAGTCACATTGGCAGTTTCCTGTGAAAATGCTTGTATTAGAGCTGCAGCTATTATATTCTCCAGGGCTGTAAAGTCATATGTTTGAAAAATTCCAATTATAGGAAGAAAATCACCTGCTAGCAATTAAAATGCATAGTGGGTGTTTAGTTTTTTGGTTGGTTTTTAATTGAGATATTGGCTTTTATGGCTTGCAATCACCAAAGCATTTGGTTATTCCAGTTAGGGAAAGACATGCATGTATAGCATGCACAGGGGAAAAGGAGTAAAAGTTAAATTTCCCTCATCCATAACCCCAGTTTAAAAATAGCTTCTCTGGTTCTTATGGCAGATATTACATACACATGACTTGAAATGAAGAGCAAAATACAATCTTTTCTGTGTTTTGAAGAGCATATAATGCCACTTATGAGCAATTAAACTTGAAAATGATGCTAAATGCCATTCTACAGCTACAACCCCAAAAAGCCTGCCTGGAAGACAACAGCCTAAAGCAAAACCAGAAATTTCACTTCCAGCAAATCTATTGCAAGTAAGTCAACATTACATTTTAAACAGCACTGCTTTCCTAGCACACATTTATAACTACTGCAAACTTACTTGGACTTTCTGAGTCTGGAACTTCCAAGTAGTGACTGGGGATGGACAGAAGCGAAAAGAACATTCAGGCCAAATGCCTGCCTCATAAATGACTATTGTTTAGCATACCCTTGTATTCTGTCACCTTGTCTTCTTTATCATGCATATGTAGTTGAGCATATCTTCATTATAACCTCACTGATGTGCAGTGAAACTGTTCCATATGCTGAGCACCGGGAATAAAAATACTACATGACCAGTAGGGACCCTGGTGTTCTTTGAAAATAAACTGTAATCTGATAGACTTTGCGCATCAGTAAAACAATGTCTTGGCTACATTTTAGTCTGCCCTCCACTAAAATTCTCCTTATATAAAAATCAATGGGAAAACGCCCCTGGGAACAACACAACTCTTCTTTAAGCTGTGTTCATTAAAGTCTGCTCTTATGTATTTCTCAGGTAAGTATAATATATCTGGATTTGGCCCACAAAAACATGTTTAGGACTCTCCTGCTCAAGATTCAATGTCTTTAAACTCACATTGTGTCCAGTACAGGAATTTTGAGTTTTCCTACCTGACTTTGGGTGTGGATGTGTGTTTGCAAGTGTATGCACATGCTTGATTTTAGGAGTAAAGCATGGGTTTGCTGACAGTAAGTTAGGAATTGAAGACACACTAGAGAATGTCTTATGCTTTTGAAGTTTCTCCTACAACTACCCTAACAAATTGTGGCAATTAACATGCTGTTAGTGTTAGATGTATGCAGCCAGTGCAGGTGCTAATAATTGAAAAAGCATTTAGAGCTTTTACACCCTGGCTGAATATTTCATGATGTGCTGCATGTTTCACTATTTACTCAGTGGGCCTCTGTCACTTCAATCTTCTCTGACTGCTTTGACTGGTGCTATAAAGCTCAACCAAGATAGAGTGACGGCTTGTCACAGGCAAACTCCACTGACTCCAGCAGGGGACTAGCTGTGAAGGTTGTCACGACATTCTGATGGAATTCAGCAAATGTTTTGTGACTAATACACCCAACATTTGTCGGCTACCATTAGCCATTCCCTGTGACCCTCTGCAGTCTGTCTGGATGGCATTAAGTTGTAATGAGAATTTGTTGCCTATGTGTGTTACACTAATGACACTCTTACTGATCTTTCCTTTCACAGGTTAATCAGCACTGAA